TTATTAGTTTTGGGTAGATAGAGCTTGTCAATCCAGGTAAGCAGTACATCTAGGGGAAAGAAAACCTTGATTTTAAACCTCTGTTGCCTTGCAGCCAGGTCCAATCATAGAAAAGGCTATGGAAGTAAATCCACACTGGAGCCCCAAAGGTGGTTGGTTGTTGACATTGACAAATTTCTGGCTATTCCTGCAACCAAACTGTCCCCAAATGCAATGCCCTGTATTCCTTTAGATCTTGTTGGTACAACTGAAAAGAGGTGGGGTAACAATATAGTTTGAGGAGTACATGACCTCTGTATACTATTTCCCAGGTCGCAACCTGAAAAAATCACACTAGTCTCAGCACCAAAGGATTGAATTATCACAAGATAAATAGATACCTACTATATATATATATATATATATATATATATATATCCTGACTCCAGGGGTTTGTAAATAGATCCTCGTGAAATTACTCCACCCCACTCGTCAGGTGATATCAGCAATTGCTTATACTTTTTGATTTTTCTTTTTTATATGCACTTTTCATTGATGCAAGTTTTTTTGCATAGTGCGTGTGTGCATTTGCACTCATGCACCTGTCTATATGTATGTGTATACATGTAGAATCTCATGATTATTTGTCCTTTTCAGCTTTTTTTTCACTTTACACTAACTCCTTAATCTTTCTTTTTCCTCTTTTCTTTCAGTTGATACCATTTGGCTTCCAGTTTTCTAGACATGTTGACATTATTAATTTTTTTATGTTCTCTCTCTCTCTCTCTCTCCATATATATATAGAGAAAGAGAGATCCAAAAGTAAAAGAATGAAGTGTAAAATTTCAGCGTTCAAAACATTAATTTAAAACAGGGCTCAATATGAAAATAGAGCAATAAATATTTATTATGCAGTGTTACATTAGAACAAGTACATACCCACTACAAAACTGTACATCTTTTTTCAATGTTAAAAATTTTTTTTTTAAATGTTTCGTCAAGTAGCATTGTGATTTCCCACCTGATGAAATGTTTAAAAAAATTTTTTTTAATGTTGAAACAAGATGTACGGTTTTGTAGTGGGTATGTATATGTTCTAATGTTAATTTAATATATATATATATATATATATATATATATATATATATATATATATATATTTGAAGAAATTTTTGAAAAAATTTTGTTTTTTCAAAATTTCTTCATTCTGTCATTTATATCCATTTACACTTGCTTATATATATATATATATATATATATATATATATAGTGCTGGTGTTAATAAAACAATGCATGATATAATAAAACAAAGCTATTAATTATATATTAATAAATATACATATTATCCCTCACTGATCGTATGATATGGAGTTCCATGCACAGTGCGATCTTCAGGTGTTGAGTATGGAATAAACACCTGAAGAATTGTGTTATGTATGAAACTCCAAGTTGTGCTATCAGTGAGGGATAATATATATATATATATATATATATATATATAAAGTCCCCTACCCTCCCTAAACTTAACCTCTTTTTCAAATGTAACTCATAATTGATACAACAATAGTTAATAAAAATGAACATGCTACCGTCCCTGTTTGAATGACTGGATTTCTCTGTATCCTTGGAAACAGAAAATTGTAAATTTATATGTGCATTTAAAACTCAGTAAATTTAAAAATAAGTTGTTCCAAAATTTGCTTGATGATGAAACAGAACTAATGCTTTTAATTTAATTATATAATTAAATTTAAAATTTTTAGCTTCAGTTTTTGAAACATGGTTATTAATGTATAGCGAAGAAACCACATTTTAAATCAGTTAATTTATAATATATATATATATATATATTGGTATTGAAAATTTTCAAAACAAGGCATAAAAAAGTAAGCCATTACTCTTGTAACTAATATTTTTAATATATTATTTGTATTTGGCCAAGATCTAAACCCAAATAACCCTCTTGGGAGTCTACATAGCAATCTCTATGTCTCTTTCATGTCTCAAATTTCATGAGGCAACATGTTCGGGTTTTCTATAAGGATTCTCTGGTTGACTCCATAATTAATTTCAGTCATTTGAGAGTTGATGGATTTGTTGGCAGTGGATGAGTTTTTTTTTTTTTTGTTTCCTCCTCCCCCCTAACTATTTTCTGGTATCTTGTTGGTGATTGGTAACTTTTAACTCTAATCCTGAACTGACACTTAAGTGGCTTTGAAATATTGTATACAAATAAAAAATTTGGTAGCAGATCTGCCAAACTTCATTGAAATTTGATGTACACATGTTGCTTGGATTTCTTAGTTATCATAAAGATAATAGAACGATTCTATCATGTTACAAAACTTTGTATAATTGTTGTATTCAAATCCTTATCATCAACTGTTGTATCTCATGTTTTTGAAATAAAAGAGGGAAATAAATAAGGAAGACAAACTTGTAGGTAAATAATGAAATAGAAGGTTTACTACACAAAGGTACATTTAGCAATTGACCAAATGCTAACTCTGCTCAACTCCACTTATTTACATAAACAGATGATTCCATTCATTTATGTCCTTATATGACAATAATAACATGAGTAGATAGCATAAAGCCCATTGGTAGACTGACTCAGTAAGCTGGGTGCCAATGAGCATTAACTGTTTGTATATTTCCATTGGGCAGCATAATTATAAAATGTACAGTCCAGAAACTTTCTAATAGACCTTGTAATAATTATCACAATACAAGCCAAATCCCTGTCTTATAAACATTTCTCTTAATGGTTTAAAAATAATTCGAAAGATGACGTTATTTTATTTATGGTAAGTGGATTTTTGGCAATTACCTTACTTGATTTCCATCGTTCAATATTGTGTGTCTGAAAAATGCTGCTTTTATCACAGTCACTTCTTGACCTTTTGGCTAAGATCAAAGTGTAGTATCTGTTCTTATCAGCTGATTGTCTCTCTCTCTCTCTCTCTCTCTCTCTCTCTCTCTCTCTCTCTCTCCAATTCTATCTTCCTTTCTTTCTTTCACCTAAACCGTGTTTTTTTTGCCCTCTCTTTCCACATGATCAAAGCAGAATAAACCATTATTTATGAGGTATTGGCAGGGCATAACGGTCATGCAAACTAATGAAGGGAGGTACAAGTACAATTATAATCGGATAATATAGTGAGGTCATAAATAGTCTTTAGATAAGTAGATGGAATAAGCTTTGGGGTCAAAGCTTGTAATAAATAAGAGTGCTTTTGATACAGCCTAATAACTAAAATATTTAATTTCCAATCCACAACTAAAAACAGTTTTAAATTTTTATTATAGGGTTAATTTAATTATTATTATAGGGTTAGTTTTCTTGCATAAGAAAGTATTTTCATCATTCAAATGTCTCTTAAACTTCAGGACTGAATGATAAACATTATTGGGGGGAGATGCAGCCAAACAGGGACATGCAGCAAATCTAAATATTACAATACAGTGAGTCCCCTATATTCATGGGGGTTAAGGACCAGAACCGTCCGTGAATAGTTAGAATCTACAAATACTTGTAACCCCCCCCCTAAAAGTGCTTATAAGTACCTATTTTGATTGTTAAAACCCCATATGCCTTAAACTTTCATTCTAAATACTTTAGAAACATTTCAGACCCTTTTTTAAAACATTTTTGAAAAATAGTATTGGTGACCTTAGCATAAATTTCCTTTCATATGTACAATATCCATTTTTAATTACGTATAGAACAATAAAACCATTGAAAATACTGTATAAAATATATGTAACAAGACATAAAATATAAAGTTTAAAACATTTTTTGAAAACAGAACTGTGATGATTCCCCCAGACTTAGCATAAGCCACTTTTAAGACCTCCCCCCCCAGCCACAGCCCCTAACAAAGAACAAAGCCCAAGCACTATGAATGTTTTTGCATTTCATTTTTTACAAATGAAGATGTACAATTCTGCCAATTTTTACCATAAAAATGAACTGTTTTATGTTTTAAGTCACTTAAATAACAGGAAAATAATACAAGAATATTTTAAATATGTTCTATTGAAAAAATACACAAATCAAGGGAGTTCTCAGTGAATAATTTGTACATATGTTCTTCAGAAAAACACACGAATATTCAGAGTTTTTGCAAATAACAAGTACCTATGGTCTAAAGAAAAAATTGCGAATGTGTGAAGCCGTGAATGCTGAAATGTGAATAGGTGGGGGGGGGGGCTCACTGTATTTACTATAGCAATAAAATGATACTTAACTCCTTACCAGATCAATTTTGTAAACTAAGTTATATCTTTTCACCCCTTACCTGATATTTTTTTTAGCCCAACATTTCACTTTTGAACTTAATTTGTTTAAAAATATTTAATATAGGAATCATGAAAATAACTTTTGCTTTTCTTTTACTTCATACTAGTTTAAAAAGAAAAACCTTCTTTCAGTTTAAAATAAGGGAATACCAGGTGCTGTCAGCTTGGATGTGTGAGTGATGTAATGGATAATGACTAGGAATTGTTAAACAGAGAGCTGTATTCAAATTCTGGTTGGGTTTGTTATATTCACTTATGTGCAAATACTTTTGGGAAAGGTATGAATCTACCTCTTCTTCCTCCCCCCCCACCTGCCACAGCTGTGGATTGCTAAACCATTATTATCTCAAAAAAGAAATTCTTACAGCCTAAAAATATTTTTCTGGCTTTAAATAACCTTCAAAAGGTTGATAAACCATAAAAAATAGATGAATCAATTAAATTAAAATAACTTTTGCACCAAAAGCATATACTATAGGCCACTTTATAAAAATGTCTAAATACACACAGAAAATCTTCCTATTTTTATTTACATTTGGACAACAGTTTTGCCACTGTACCCTTCAGTCTTCATTTCTTTCTTGCTACTTTTCATCTTGTTCCTCTTATAGACTAACTTTTATGAAAATAGTATGGATGGCATGTTTTTATTTTGTTTCTGTCTCTGTTTTACGCATTTCATACACATCTGCTTTTCATTTCCCCTATTTGTTTTGTAGGCATGCTGATTCCAGCAGTTTTAATGGTCACCATCAAGTATGTGAATTGCAGCCAGTCTGGGGCATTAACCCTTGTCATTTTGGCTGTGGCCTTTTCTGCATTCTCTCAGGCAGGATACAATGTTAACCACTTGGATATCGCCCCAAATTTTGCCGGTAAGTGTGGCTTTTGCAAATTGATTTTCACTGAAGGATCATATCTTGAGAAATAGCCTTTATCTTATTTTTATTTCTTTCATCTAAAATTTTTGATCTGCATACCTTCTAAAGTTGGTGCCATTATTATGAAATTATTAGCGGGATTGGTCTTCTAAGCGTCATTAAGGTTATGAATTAGACAACTAATTCTGTTATTAAACTAAAAGAATAGATAAACAAAAGCTGACTTTTTCTACGTATATTTGGGGAGGAGTTAAAACATTGAATGTAACAAGTTATGATATAAATCTTAGAAAATAGAACATAAATTCTAGATAATATACAGCTGTTTCTTTGTCATTTGTCCAAAAAGCGATTTGCAATTAGCTAACTATTCCGATAAATAATATAGTAAATAGTGTAAATAAACAATCTAGTAAGTAAATAGTATTTATTATTTTGTTGTCAATTCCCAAGAAAAAAGAAAATGTATAAATTCACTTTCATATATTTAGGTTTTATTAAAATTCTAATCATCACTTTTTAAAACAATAAACATTGCCGAGGAGTGAAGGTAGTTAAAATAATAGCGGCATCAATGGAAAAACCATCCTTTTGATACTTCATTTTTTTGGCAAGCATTGAAGGTCCAAGTTTGCCAAAATATCATCAAAATTTTGACACAGACATTACCTGAAATTCCAAGTTTATATTCCTGAAGTTTTGACTAATATTTTTGTTCTTGTATATTTTGTTCTGGTTGTTACAAAGTCCAAAGCACTGTAAAAAATATTCAGCATTGTGGAGAGAAGTGTAGGTACAGGTGGTCTAATAGTTGGGCAATTTGACCTCATTAGTCATGTAATGCAATCCAACATGGATGTCTGGCTATCATCCAGTCCCCAAATAATTCAATTGTTACTGAAAGTTCCAACTAGCATTGTTGTAGCCCCATGCTCCACGAGGAGTCTGCAGGAATGAACAAAACATGAAGAGGGAGAAGTAGGGTTCATGCTTTTTTACCAAGAACCCTCGTGTGAAGTGAGTGCCAACTGTCCAAGTTAGAATTTGAACTCAGCTTGCAAATTCCGTTTTTTCATGCCATTAACATTCATGCCACCCACACCCCCTCACCACTGCATTTTAATGTCTACTTTTTAAGCTGTTCAGGTGTCATCACATCACAAACATGTGACTTGTAAGCTATTAAAACTGTAGAGGTGCCATGTGTACTGCAACCATTGCAGCAGTGTGTGTGTCTAGGGAAGATAATCTGCTGAAACCCATCCCTCCTCAGGCTGGTCTTGAATTCAGAGTTGTCCATCTCCTAGACTGACCTTCCATGGCTAAAGATCCCAGCTTGCCTTACTATTTAACTCATAGCTGGAGGAAAGCTGATTTCATGCCTTTTCCAAGGATATCAGTGTGGTATGAACAAAACAGACTTGGTTAGAATTTGAACACTGCATGCTGGTTTCACTTTCTGCAATGGTAACCTTTAGACACCCTGCATATCCACACAGGTGTACAACTCATCAAACAACAAATTGGTATTTCCAGTGTCTTGTGAATATGCTAAGAATAATGTCTTATGTTTAGTCTACTTGATATATATAGCTAAGGGTTTTCAGTCTAAGTTGAAAAAATATTGACACTGCCTGCAGGAATCTCTGATATCCAAGCCTGAAGCCATCCACAGTAGGAAGATTAATAGAAAGTCCAAAGGATACATCAGGAAAAATCCAGTGATTAGAATATTACTTTGAATAACTCATGGAATAAAAGTCAGAAATCTTGACTGTGGATCAGCAGAAGGGAGGCCCTTGTTATCAAAACTGAGATTTCTCTTTACACAGCTGATTTTTACACTGAATTCTATCTTCATACTGTTAATGTTTTTTTTAAGATAAAGGCTGAGAAATATATTGATTTTGCTTGGTTATAATTGATAAGAAAGTGTTAAAAGAGAATTTTGTATAAGCAAGACAAAAGCAAGAATTAATTGCTTTTTTGAGCTTAGGAAAAGTAATTTCTATTCAAAACTTTAGCAAGTAAAAAAAAAAATATAGGAACAGATTTTATGGACCCACAAAAAAACTTTTGTATTCCTTGTATTCATTTGTTTTTATTTCCTATCTAAAAAATACTTTAGTTACTTTCAACCAACACTCCATATTTTCTACCAAACAAACTATAGTTTAAATATATACTCTACATGTTTCTAGTAAATCACCCTAGTTTTTACCAATTTACTGTATTTATACCAAATCACTATATTTCTATAAGTTGCCATATTTCTGCCATATTTTTTTATTCAACATTTCCCTTATCAACTGAAAAGATTTTTTATTAACTTGCCATATGTTTTATCAACTCACCACATTTCTAACTTAATGGACCTTTAGGGTAATTAACCCTCTCATTTTGTTATATCAGATATGTTAAATTATAGAACTTTAAGAATACTTAGAGTGATTTGATAGAAATGGATACCTAGCCTGACCTAGAAGTGTTTAAAATAAATATGTTTGGTTAGATTTTGGGAAGTGAACTGGGCTCAGAAATTCTCAGCATCCCACTTCATATTGTATGAGGAATCAAATTATTTTTGGTTTTCCAAATCAATGTGTAATTAAAGACAGCAACAATAATGTCTTTAATTCTGCATAAAAATAGAATCATTAACAGAAAAATGATATGCAAAAAATGCGCTGAAAACGGTTTTATTTTTTACTTTTGCTTTTTTTAAAAATGTTTTACAAAACAGGCCAAAGATCAGATTCCGCACCCTGGGTATCTTTACTTACGCAAGTCAGTAAATTTTTTTTTTTTTTTTTTTTTTGTGAATATGTGTTTTTACTTTATTTAGGTCAACAATGTTGAACACACACCCTGCAGGCTACATCAGTCACACCAAAGTGTTTTTTATGGCCATTTCTAGCCATTTGAATAAACACCTCTCACTAATAAACTTGCCTTAATAGTGTCATTTTCAGTTAGTGGTTTGCAAATGTTCCATGCATTCTCAAGTATGCATGCAAACCTGAACCTAGATATTTTGCATTTCATATGAAATAATATTTTATACTCTTGTTTTGGGAAGAAAATAAAATCAGTATATTGATACTATATTATGTATATACTTTCCTAGGTAAAGTGTGTATCATACTCCAAAAGTAAGATATTAAATAAATCTTCACCCAGTTTAAGAGATCAAAGGGGTAAAGGAGTACTAAAACTGAAGACGGCAAGTTTATGTCTTCATTTTGTCCCTTCCCCCCTTCACCTCCTTTTTCTCTTTCTTAACCATTACATTTCCTTCTCCATACCTTCTTTTTCCTTACCCACTCTCCTTTGCTTTTTTTCTGTTCAGTTGTCGTATGGAAATGAAGCGATAAGCAGTTGTTTGCTATATATAAAATGCATTCTATTAAATAGAACAGACAGAGAATGTCTACTAAGGCTGTTTGTGAGTTTCTCCTGGGGCTGAATTATTCTTAAATGAATTAATCAATTACTCACTTTTATCTCCAGTGGAAACTTTTAAAGAATCTTTTTTAAGAATCTTTTAAAGGAAATTAAATGCTGAAATTGTAAGCCATCTTGTTAACCATTTTCAAGGAAAGGAGTTTAAAGTCCAGAAATATCCATGATCACAACATTTCAATTGTTGTCAGTTTAAAATTTAAAATGAATACTTGTTTGTGTGTTATGAATATCAATTAGAATCTAACATTGAATGGTGAAGATGACTTTACAGCTTAAAGGTATTTTAATAACTAAGCACCTAGATTAACAGATTAATGACCACTGTCTACAAAATGGGATTATGGGAATTTATGGCTCATATATAAAAACTAGTAATTAATATAGGCTGTTTTTTTAGAAACCTATAATTAATGTCAGATTTTTCTTTTGATTTTTATAATTAATATGAGATTTTACTGTAGTCATCAATACGTTAAGTCAAAACTATATTAATATTTTCAATATTGTTGCCATATATGGTCTGGTGCCCCCACTATTCAACTTGAGGTTCTTCACAAAATCCAAAGACAGATATGCAATGTGATTGATCCTGACTTAGCGGTCTCAACTCCAGTCACTTTCTCACTGACATAATGTGGCTTCCCTCTGACTTTTCTATAAATATTTTCATGGCATCTGCTTTGACGAGCTATTTTCCCTGTTGCCCTGCCTGCAAGAAGTTAAGCGTCCTACTAGGTTGGCATCTCTGTCCCAACTTTTTACTGTCAAAACAGTTAAATGTAACCGCCTCTTCTACTCCAACAGCTTCTTCACTCACACTTCCCAACAGTGAAACTCCCTTCCTCTTACTTGCTTCCCTGATAACTATAATCTTCAAAAATTTAAATGTAATGTCAATCAACATCTTCTGTTGCCTTGATCTCCATTCTCCTTTATATCCTTTCCTCAACACCCCCCCGTACCCAGTCTTTTTCCTTACTTTCACTCTCTGTAGCCCCTTGCGTACTAGTGGCACTCCAACCTTGCTTGGGGGTGAAATGCTGAAAAAAAGAAAATGAAATTGCTGCCTAAATATACTATATCCAACATACACATCTTATTAAAAATAATGTCAGATTAAAAATATTAGTTAATTCATGATATATATATATATATATATATATATATATAATATGGGTACACACTTAGAAAAGTGATACACCTCTACTATATATATATATATATATATATATATATATATATATATATTCAGGCTTTCAAAAAAAGCAGTGTGCCAAAAGGACGTTTATTCCCTCAACATTGATATCTGACTCCCTTGGCAATGTTTATTTCCAAGATTATAAAAATATGTGAACCAAATACAATGCGGTATTTATTATTTGCCATTTCTAAAGATTTATTATTTACCATTTTTTTTATAAAATAAATTTTAAAAAAAAATCTTTTTATTCAAAAATTTATGGAAAAATTTACAAAATTATCAAAATATATAAACCAACTACAATGCAATATTTATTTTGAAAAAGTTT